GTATGTAGGTATATATATGTATACTAAGGAAATCACTTATTACGAATATATCGTTGTCAAACTTAATATTCGTGTGCATGTGTGGTGCAGTATGTAAAAATACAATAATTTTTTCATTGCCTATTGTCTCAAAACAAGTATTTTTCAAGAAATTATATAGCTTGAAATTATATGGTAATTCTATTCTTGAAATTTATATAGATTTTAAATAGGTATATAAATAGTATTTTATATAAGTATACAAATAGTTTTTATATAAATATATACATTGCCATGTCCGAAGATATATGTACATGTTGGAACATTTTTATGGTCGCTTTTATATTCCCACCGCTATATATATTCAATATATTACTTCGCTGTGTATGTATCGTTTTAGTTTCTTTTTTTTTCTTTTAGATAATCCGATCCAATTTTTACGAAATTATAATACATATTACTTTGTAAATGAAGTATTATTCAATATTCATAAATACAAAAGTATTATTTTTTTCAAATACAATGTACAATTCAAATACAAATGTACCTTTATATTTATATTTAGAGATATTCATAAATAGAGATATACGTAAATATATAAATCCTTCGAATTACTCAATTTATTAATTATTCATTATTTCATGCATAGTATAGAAAGCATAGGAATGATTTACATACGCGTGATACATGAGTGTGTCTATTTTATATTTCTATATTTTAAGAAAATATAAATATTTCATTAAAAAATCTTTGTCTACATTTAAAATCCGAATTAATTACATTTGTCGTACTTTTGATACTCCCACATATTTTTATTACATGTTTTTATTGTTTTTAATTGAAAAAATTAATTTTTAAATTGACTCGCGGTGTATCCTAGTTATATAGTCGAACTAAAGAAGTCACTTCGGTTCCCTGTTAATGGTTTGGTCGCTATCTTGGATATGATAACAAGTAAATATGATGTTTTGTTGCTCTACATAATTATAGGTAATTAGTAGATTCTTTCAAACATAAACCTTCTTCCATTACATTAATCGATAACTGAACGCACGATTTTTACGAGGCCGCGTTCGCATATCGGCATGTCGTAACGTTCGAAAGATATTCGTGAAAATAATATCTACCTCTCACAGATCAGCCAGGGAAACTATTGCGTCGTATTTTTTCTTCTGATCAATAATTTTGTGTTTATAATTCTGATCGATCGATATCTTATATTCAATTTTCATATATACTTATACACATACACACATCTACGGATATTCCATACACAATACACTTTTATTTTAATCCTGTCTAATATGATCATATACTTCTCAGATTTCCAAGAATTTAACGAGCTAGAATAATATGGTATCAAATTTGTCGGTTTTATATACGACCTTCTCTTCATATGAGTATAAGTGTGTCTTTTTTTAATAACATAGAACGAGATCTAATAGAGGAAAGATAGTTAACATTCGACATGGAAATACGCATTAATTTGTATATTTCCAAGAAATTCTCCGACCGAGAATAAAACAAAAACAGTCGATCGTTCGAACTATCTCAAGGATAAGAGATCTTTATTTTTATCTAGTATTTCGACAAGTAAAAATCTACGAAAAGCATCAAGTGATTTCGTTTTAATTACGTATTTTATTAATAAACATTTTTATTTCAACTTTATCACGATTAATAGTATAGAAAGTTTATTGTTATAGGAATTTGTATACTTTTTAGTTTATTAGTCATCATCATGTTTACTGCTACAGTTATTGTTTTATTTTACAAAATTTATTTGATTTTTATTAATAGTTGGGTCTCCATATGCAGCTACTTCCAAATGGTGAGACCTAGGTTATTGATATTGTTTAAGTTTGTATATTTAGATATAAATTAAATGTTTTTGAATATATAGGTGCATATTTTGATACATTTTAAAAATACTTGACTTTTAGTCGTTCGAAAATAAAAATTAAATTCATAATTAAATTAAGAATTCAATTTGTAAGATATTCATTATGATTGATACTTTCAGATAATATATTCTTTAATGTGTTATTTTCAGAGATCATTTACAGGAAATATTTTATTCTTTCTTGTTCTATGATCTTTTATCAGCTCATCAATTCTTATAAATTATTAGAGTCAGTGTTTTCTCGTATCGTTGCTAGCTATTTTTACATTTAAATAAGACGATAAAATAAAATTATATTTAATATAAATCCGTAAATTAGTGTCAATATATATGGAAATTCATGAAGTAGAAACAGTATTTATTCATAATATATTTGATTTATTTTTATAACTTTAAATAATCTGATTAAATAAAATTAGATTCAATATAAATTCGCAATGTAGAATTAGTGTCAGTAGAAATTTTTCATAATTCTGAGGCAGGATACTCATCGTGCAAAGGATCAAGATAGATTACAGTAAGTAAATTTCTTTTTTAAACATTTTCTTGGCCCGAGAGGCCGACTTATACCATTGAATTAGTATATCCGAGAGATTAATTCTTTGATAGTGTCTTATTCAGACAGATAAAGATGAAATCTATTATACCCGAAAGGAACAATAGATTCTCACATGGTAATCTGACTTTATTTGGAAAGTAAAGTAGAGATGATGTTTGCTTTAATTATCCGAGAGGTAATTGAAATTTTGTAAACAAACAAACAAACCATAAAAAATAAAAAATAAACAGTCATAATTTACGTTATGTCATGGGCTAGTCTTGGAGTTATTATTTGAGAAAGGATCTGTGGATCTGGTCCCAAAAGAGTCTTTGGGGAATATACCAGGTTTGAGAGCCACAAGTGTCGCAGGAGCAATTGGTGTACTGAGAGACGTGACCAACAGCCAACATAAGATTTTGTTTGGGGCTATTGACAGAGAGGCTACGATCGGCAGTTCTGAAGCTCAGATTAGTGAAGGGAAGAAATACTGCTGATGGTCTGAGCAGCGAGGACAAGGGTTCTCTGTTAAAGAAATATCCACGATGTCTATCAAATTTTTGAAACAAATAGCGTACTAATTGTAGTCACGAGGTTATTTATCGATGTTATATCTGGATGATATAATTTTATTGTCTTTTATGTCTCGGTAGGTCAATAGAAAAATGCAGGGATAATCTTAGTCAAATTACCTTGCTTTGCTCAATCGTTTGGGTTTTGTTATCAACCTTAAAAAGTCATTGTTGTTACCTGAGACTAGATGTAGATATCTAGGTTTTTTACCAGACTCATCTACCATGAGAATTGAGTTACCTGAAGAGAAGAAGGTGGCTCTTTTAGTTCAAATGAGTAATTTTGAAAAAAGGCGAATTTTTAAGATTCGGGACTTTGCTAAGTAGGTTGGATCTTTGGTAGCATGTTATCTCGCCGTTGAATACAGTCTATTACATTGTAGACTGTTTGAGAGGATTAAGGTTCGAATCTTAAATAATAATGGAGGTACCATTTGATGCTACGATGATGATGCCTAGATTTGTCCAAAAAGATTGGAATTGGTGGAAGAAGACCATACAGGTTTTTAAGAAATATCAAGGAATACAAATTCATCAAGGCTATTTTTACGGATATTTTACTGTTAGATTAGAGAGCTTTCTGTGGTAGTGAGAGTGCCTTATATTTATAGATAGCTTTGCAGTTTACATCATTTGAAGAAATTATATATAGAATCAATGCAACAAATAGACAACAAATTGATCGATTTTTAACTTAACAAAAGATTAAATTATTTCTGATGTGTTTTAGATAATAAGGCGATATCTTCATAATATTAAATATTCTTATTATCAAATAATGTTTAATAAGATATATAATCTTTATATAATGTATACAGGCTATAACTGCTTTTTATTTTTAGTTTCAATATGAGCCATATCAAAATATGCATATCTGAATTTGTGTTTAGGAATGGAATTTGATAAAAAATAATCAAAATGTTCTATTCCATCGCATTTATCGGGTAGATAGGTCAATATCAAACATATGCATAAATTTTCATCTAATCTCCATCGATTAGAAAAAATTTTTTAACTCGTTTCACGATTGATTTTGTTTTTACCTAATTATAAAAATTATTAATAGATATGTAATGTTGAGCAATGGCTGCATTTAAATTCAATGAAAATTTACTTCCATGATGATTTATTTTATCGTTTCATTTTTTTCCTGGATATTTGTCTTAATGAAAATTATTTCGTTAGTTATTAACCTTAGGCCTATATATTCATTTGTAAAAAAAAAAAAAAAATTCTACTTCTCCTTTCTTCTTAATTACAAAAGTGTCATGGATGCTGCTGTTAATGATCAAACAGCATTTACGGGAATTATTTCGAATACGCGAATCGATAGCAGACGAAATGCCGTGTAGAATTTTCCTTATTATTTTAACTGCATATATATCCGTTCTACATTCTCCCTGTAGGAAATAACTGCTATCTCATAGCAATCCAGAGAGGTTGTTTCGACCTAACTAAAATGGATCGATGAATCTAATCTAAATAACACAAAAAATTTCTATAAGCGTTCGATTAAATAAAAATATTTCAAATATTTTTTAGGATATTGTTATATATTTTCAAAATATTTATATATATGTATATTCGAATAGCACTGCTTTAAATGTTTATTTTTTTATTTTTTGAAGGCTTGTCTGTGGTGTATCTTACACTTAATCCCTTTCATTGCATTTTCATTCTAAAATAAAGATTGATTCACAAATTTCAATTCAGTTTCAGCACAGTCTACATTCTGACTTCGTAATTCAAATTAGAGGTGTTGTGTATGATGAATCAATGACTGAACTGATTGTAAGATTGAATGGAAATTATATGTATGTATACATTTAAATTACAATTATATACAATAATGTTAAAATCAGTGAAATGTGTGAATCAATTTTTATTCTAAAATGAAATATGTAGTACAGCGTATAATACACATATTTTTCTTATCATTGTATTATATTACAAATTTTTGGGGAGTAGGAATAATTATCGAAAGATAAAAAGAAAAAGGAAGGATGCATTTTTTGTTATACTTCACATTTATTCTATAATCATTAACAGGAGGTAACCATAATGAAATGGCACGACAGACGCGATAGACACGATAGAAGCTTTAACTTAGGGTGCAAAGAAGAGAATAATATCTAAGAAAACATTCTTAACCCTCTAAAATATTATATAATTTTTAAATCAGGTATTCATATATCTGTATTTTTTTTAAGTCTTATTTCATTTTTCACTATAAAATTAATTGTTACTTCGTACCCGAATATTAACATTTATTGAGTATAGATTAACTTAGTATAGTTATACTAATATAAGTTATAAGTTTCACATTGTATAATTTTTTTTAGATATAAAAAAATTAAATTTTAGAGAGTTAATTCGTAATATTCAAAGAAGAAAAAATAAAGAGTTACATTAGAAGGATAGACAAGAAAATCGATATTGCATTTGAATCGCCACACTTAAAAGCTATTAATTAATTAAAACAAGCGAACGAAATAAATAATAGATAATAAAATTGACGACAAAGTCGTAGCGTGGCAGAGCGAATAGAGCAAAATAGGAACGGATTGAACACAGAGATAAATAAAAAATAATAATAAAAACAAAAAAAGAAAAGTTTGGGTAATTCAGACGTTTCAAACGAATCCCTCGTTAAATTGTATTACCGATTAAAGATAAATTCTGTATTGTTAAATTACGTACAATTTCCTTAATTAAAATAATTAATCTTATGAACAATATATACTCACACGAGTCATTATAATAACTAATAACATTTTCGAGTATTCGACTTGTCAATTTTCTCATGAATCTTTCGTTAATTAATCCAGAACTCCTTCGTTCAAATTTCTCTTTTCATATGTTTCCAAGAAAAGAGACAATACCCTATACACACACACACATATATATATACATATACATATATATATGCATATATACATATATGCATATACTAATAGATATATACAAATTTGGAAAGAGAAATAAGGAAAGGCAAGTTATTTACAGTTGCTCACGAGGATATTGTATCGGAATCGTTTTTATCGATTTCTCGCGTCGATTTGGATCAACGATCACAACGGTGTCGACTTTCACTTTAACTCGAGAGGCGACAATGTGTTCTCGCGTGTCCAGTGTTTCCACTACATTTGCCTTAGATCTCCTTTGTCTTTTACATCCTCTTTTCGAACTGGAATAGATCAGCTTCTTGTCATAAATTTTTTGAGAGAAACTTCCACGTCTTTGCGATCTTTTGTTTCGATTTGTACTCATACAGGAAACGAAAAAATAAAGAATCTTTCAAATCATTCGTCGTTACTTAACTTCTACGTTATTGTCTGAGAAAGAAACAAAGAAGCGCATACTTTTCCTTGAAAATGATTAGTTCTTCTCATAGAAAATTATTTAAATGAGACGGTATATTTTTTTTGTTCAGATTTACCGACGTGTTTCTTTAGAAAGAAAACTACTTAAACGTGTCTTTAAGCAGTTGAAAATTTTCGTAAAATTTTATCTCTATTTTTTCCATTTCGTTCATTTTGTTTGTATGCTTTTAGGGAGAACTTTTTGAAAGCACAAATTCATTGAAAATAACAGTACCTCGGCGTAAGCTTTCTTTAGAAGTTAGTTAGCAAGGTTCATGACGATAGAATGCCAGTGATTGCCATTATGTTTGACGTGATCTCTCAATTTACACTCGTTTCAACAGTTCTTAAAATTCCAAAAGACGAAGAAGAAAACGGTACCAGAGAAGAAAATTGTTCGTAATCATCAAAGAACGAACAAAAGAAGAAGCAATTCATAATCTAAACCAGTAAGTTACCATCTTGGCAGGCTGGTCCCTTGCTGGGCCAGTTGCAGGCATCGGCATTGTTGTCGAAGGTTAAATGCACCGGACAATTAAATACATGAAGAGTGAATCGTTTTTTCCATTCGTCCCAGTGACAAGCGTAGAACTTATTACAGAAGTTTGGATGTCTGAAGAGGCCAGGTCTGGCACAATCATTGGGACCTTCAAGAATCTTATCGGCTTCCTCAAGAGCTTTTGAAACGAAGCTATTAAAGCTGGTTGATGTAGCAATTGAATTGGTATTCGAGCTACCTTGTTCCAGTTTCTTTCCTGCTCTTACACCGGGAATATAACTGCGATTAATAGAGGTAGATATACTTGGTAAATAGGTTGAGGAAGGTTGAGTGGTTTCAGTGACGGCCTTATTTTCAATTTTGAAGGGTTTCGGCGAGGAGGAGTCGTAATTTGTAACATAATCGTATTCGCTCGAGCCATCATTTTCGAGATCGACATAGACATCTGACTCATCGTAATTGGCAAGATCTATTTGACCCTTTGACGAATCAATTAATTTCTTACCAGGACCACGAAGATTTGCAAAAGGATCAGCTTTGCAAGTGCACTCTGCACCGAGTTTGCTAAGAAGTAACGGATGAAGATCGCTCCACTTAACGATAACTTTGCCTTTGCTTAGAGCTGCAGTTGTTTTCATACTTATTTCATAAGATGGTGTTACTGATGATGTTTTGGTGTAACCACCTGAATAGGTTGTTATAATTGGTGTACTTTGCGTTCTCGTTGATCCTATGTAAGTTTGGCCAACTGAAGACGAAAAAGATGATTGTTTCCTGCTTGATCCACTGTAAGTTGATCCTGTAGAACTTGTACTGTCGATTCCAGTGTAAGTGTCATACACACTAGGAATATATTTGACTGTTCCTCTGTTGTAGTTATTGACAAGAGTCTTTACTTTATCCCGAGAGATATCCAAATTCGTTGGTGATCCTCCAAAAGTGGTGCTCGATCCAAATGATGTTTTCGTTTTTGACGTGTAATCTTGGCTAGATGATGTGTCATCGATTATTGAAATTGATTCTGGAGTAGTCTGATCGTAAGTAATATCAGGTATTGAGATTGGTTTCGTATAGGTCACTCCGATAGCAGAAGACGACGGTGTAGTTGATGATACGTACTAAAAAAAAAAAATTTCTTCGTTATATTTCACAAACTTTTACATTTCTAGAATAATAAATTCTTAAATAGATCATCAAACCTGTGGCCGTATACTTTCTGTGGATTGCTGACGAATTATTGTTGACGGTGTAACACTTTCTTCAAATGGTTTGTTCCCTTCTGTATAAGTATATCCATTAAAACCATTTGAGACAGATGGTATAGTGTTACTAGGTACATATTGGACCTAAGAAACAATAAAATTATTAATTATTATTATAATATTACTTATGATTTAAGGTTCATTTGATTTGTGCCATATTATGATAAAGTAATTGTAATGAATTCAACAAATCGCATGAAATTATCACGAAAAATATAAATGCATATCGAACATAAAATCTTACCTTTGGTCGCAGTGTTACAGTCGGTTGTTTGTAAGTTCCAAATATTGTCGATGGACTTGACTTTCCAGGAACATATCCAGAAGATATAGAGGCTGAAGGTAAAGTGGTAACAGAAATGTGATCAGTTTGATTATATAAACCAGTTGATTGGTGGGAAACTCCAGTTTCGAAGACAGATTGTGCATGCGTGGAAAGAGATCCAGTATTGAAGCGACTATCCTTATAAGTGTATGTATCGCCGGTCAAGCTCACTGGAATAGAAGTTGGAGAAATGACAGTTTTGTAATCGTTATCGAACACTGGTTGAAGGGTAGATACGGATATTGGAATTTTAGATGCTTCGAAAACTGTTGTCTTGTAGTTTTCAAGTGTAGGTCCAGTAGTGTAAATTCCTGAGGATACTGTAGGTGTTGATTGTTTATGTTCAACAAATCCTGTTGAAACTTGTCCAGTCACGAAGCCTGGCTTGTTGTACGTGTTCACTACAGTAGATATAGGTGTCACTCCTGCAGAATCCACAATCGTTGGTGTTTGATAAATTCCAACATCGAGATAAGATGGTGTCGTTACTGTATAAGGCACTTTGCCACTTGTGGAAGAAACTGAACTTGACGTAGAAGATTGTATACCACCAGTATTTTCGTAAATATTTGATACTGAATGTGATATAGCTGGACCTAAAGTGATTTTTGATGTGTCGATGTGTGTAGCATCTGGTGCTTCAGTTGATGTAGCTACATTTGAAAAGGTCTTAGACGTTTTCGTGTAACCGGCAACATTTCCTTCGAAAGCATTTTCTCCAATTTTATCATAATTTGTTGTAACTCGTTGACCAGTACTGGCAACATAAGATCCTTTACCACCTAAGCTTGCAGTTACATAACCTGTCTTAGTGGGTCCTGTTTTCGTAAAGCCACCTTGAGTGAATGTATCAGATTTTATTGAAGAGTATCCTGGGGAACTTATTTCACCTTGAACTCCATGCAATTTATCTCCAGGCACATTATCGGAAAGCGTACCGATCGATGTTCTGTAATCTGTAAGATCACTTTCAGTATACTTAGTGGTAACAAGACCGTTATTAAATGTGATGGTACCACGGCCTCCGTTGTCATGGTATTCATTTGTCTTATAACTTGTACTTTCAGTGATTGAAGGGGTTACTAACCCTACATTAACCGAACCTTTACTACCACTATAAATTGATGATCCAGAATCAGTATAATGATGACTTCCTATGGAGCCCCCAACAGTAGTACCTTCTTGAACAGTTCCACCTACTACGACACCGCTAGAAGTTTGACCGGTTAAGTGAACAGCTGGGGTATTCTGTCCATGTAAGATTATACCAGAAGTAGGAGTACCACTTAATGAAACGCCTGGGGATATGGATCCGTGCAAGAAAGTACCTGGACTAGCTGATTCGGAGTAAATAGTTTTAACTCCATCACTTACAACATAACCAGGAGTACCAGTTTGTGATTTTACATATCCTGGTTGACTACTTCCAGTGATAACAGCACCTTGTTGTGTTGATCCTGTTAATATTGATCCAGATATATCTCCTTGAGTAATAAGAGATCCAGAAGAGGAGTCGTCAGTGACTATGGCTCCTTCAATATTAGTACCAGTAACGATAGTGCCAGTGTTTGCTTGTCCAATATTATAACCATCAGAATAACCAGGATGTTGATAAAATGTGCCAGGTGTAGGCGAAGTTCTATCAAGCATTAATGTAATATTCAAATTACTTTCTGTAAATCTATTTTTACCAAAAGTGCTTGTTACTCCAGTACCACTGGTATGACTTGTTTCGATTCCAGATTGACTAGAAAATACAGGACCAGAAGATACTGTATGATGAGTAACATATGTACCTGTTTGGCCCGGATAATTTGTAAATACTGATGATGTAGAAACAGAACCAGCTTTTCCATCATTCTCGGTTTCACTAATGCCTTTTACTGAACTACTACCTGTGACATCATTCTTATAATACGGTATTTCACTAATAATTTGTACTGGTATAGTATAACTAGGTAATTCGGAATCTTTAGAATTTCCAAAATATTGAGAATTGCTACCTCCATGGCCTTGTATCAATGTCGATGTTGTACCATAATCTCCACCTTGTAATACTCCTGGTACAACTTTTTCACCTACTACCGATCCACCAGGATAATTTGAACTTATCGTCGTTGGTCTTGTAAATACATTACTAGAATCTCCTAAGTGGCCCGCACCAAATGAACCTGTATATTTTGTTTTCGTTGAAAAATCTGATCCTGTATATCCGGATCCTGTATATTCAGATCCTGTAGATCCTGAATAATCAATTATTCCAGGTTGTCCGATTTCAGACTGTCCGATATCAGAATGTCCGATTCCAGCATGTCCAATTCCAGTTGAAGATCCAGAAATAGAAGAAGTTTGAGAATATCCTGTACTTGAAGAATCAGTATACCCACGTTCAGACGATCCTGTATATCTTCCTTGTCCTTCTGTTCCTTTCGTTATTCCTGAATATAATGTGCTGTCAGAATAACCACCAGATCCTTTCTGATCGGTAAAACCTTGTGTATCCGAACTTATCGACCCTGTATATCCTAAACTGGAATCAATTCCTCCAGATCCTCCTTTATAACCAGTATTAGTTGATCCAGAGTATCCATTATCTGTTATGGAACTTCCAGTATATTGGGAATCTGATCCAACATTAGTTAATCCAGAATATCCATTACCTGTTACGGAATTTCCAGTATATTGGGAACCTGATAATGTACTGGTCGATATGGTATATCCACCAATATTTGATCCCGCAGAACCACTGCCAGCCTGGATCGTACTACTAGAACCTCGATATGGACCATTCGTTCCTTGCGAATATTCCGAATTAGGAGATATATGATCACGCGATTGTGAACCTGACAAACTATTGCTACTTTCCGTATATCCTAATCCTGTATGGAGCCCAGTTGTAGAACCCTGATAAACGTTACTTAATGATCCTGATGATCCTGAATATCCAGATTCATTAGAATTTGTTTGAATTCCAATATATTCTGTACTTGTTGAATCTTTATATCCACCGGATACACTTCCTGTATATTGTCCACCAATTCCATGTGAACCAGTAATTGATCCGTATCCTGTGACACCACTAGTATATCCTGATCCAGTTGAATATTCTCCAGTTACTTTTGAGTAATCTGTATTCAAGCTTGATTGTCCAACGTCAATTTGTCCAACGGATGAACCAGTAAATTGTGTGCCAGATGAACCAGTAAATCGTGTGCCAGATGAACCAGTAAATCGTGTGCCAGATGAATCAGTAAATCGTGTGCCAGATGGACCAGTAAATCGTGTGCCAGATGAATCAGTAAATCGTGTGCCAGATGGACCAGTAAATCGTGTGCCAGATGAACCAGTAAATCGTGTGCCAGATGAACCAGTAAATCTTGTATTGGATGAATCCGTGTATCCACCAGCACTGGTTTCGTAATAACCTCCACCAGTTGTTCCTGAAAATCCGTCGGGTATTCCACCGGTAACAAATCTACCTGCATCTTGAGTAGACGATCCACCATTAAAATGAATGTCATATTCGCTTCTTGTATAGCCCGATCCAGAATTTGAGCAACTAGGTACCAACCAAGGCCACTCGCAAACTAATTTGTCCTGATCAAAGACCAAGTCATACGGACAACGGAATTCGAAAGCCATCATTTCTGGTCCACCTATCATAAAGTTCTTACGTAAGTATATAACAAGTGTTATTTAATAGAAATACAAATAATGTGTTATACCTAAATCAATGCAGGCAAAAAACCAACGACAATTTCGTGGATCAGCATAGTATCCTGGTTTAGGAGGACATTGAAATCTAACTTGAGGAGCAGGTGCCACTTCGCTGCTTCCAGGACATGGAGATCCTTGAGACAAAGATCCTGGCCAAACACAAACTTCCGTACGCTCGTCGAATGCCAATCCAGCTGGACAATCAAATTCGAAGACCGAGTAATTCTCTATGTTTTGATTAAATTTGACACATCGATAAAATCTATGAAAAAAAAAGAATAATTTATAGTTTTCTATATTTATCAGTTAAGCTACTAACATTGAAATAATCACAACCTGTTGCAACTTTTAGGATGCACGAAGTAGCCTTGTCTTGTACAGATAAATTCAGTTTGGGTATTTTCACGTACTGCACGAATATGTCCCTCGGTATCAACTACTCGCACCACTCTATAGCCAGACGATTTTGCTTTATTTGGGTAAGTAATCATTGCTTGCTAAAAAAAACGAAAAAGTATAATAGGTTGACAATAAGTATCAAATGATTAACAAAAAGAATGTTCCAAGGAGAAACATTTTTATCATGTAGTACATATTTACATGAAGATCGTCTTCTAATGAAGTGAGCACAGCGTGTCGCGACTTTCTCTTAAAATTCGTAAAAGATTGATAGACATCATGAGTGATTGTTTTTCCGCAATTACTTTTTAAATCGTTTTCTATCTCCCAAATACCCAAACCGGCGAGATCACGTAGAATTACATATTTTCCCTGCAAAAAAAACCGTTCATATAATATCATGAAAGGAGAGAGAAGGAAGATAGACAGACTTCACTTCAATATACTTTAATGCCCGCAGAAATTTTGTCCTCAAAAGCGATCCATGTTTTGTTTTTGAAAGCATATGGCCCCGTGAGATCCTCATCTCTTTCTATCGTCCATTCTCCGTCATCCATCGATTCGCAAAACTGAAAGTAGTAACAATAAATTGCTCAACGTTTTCTAATTCTGTTATCGATTTTACAATACTACGATCTGTAGTATAGTATATTTAAATTTTATGCTAATTTACATTCTGAATTGTTTTTTTTTTACCTCTTTCCTATCGATGACAGTCGGATATTTGTCCTCGGTACGTGACCTTGGTGCATTCTCTGTCTCATTCTTCAAATTGAATCTATAAGCACTGGCTGGCATCGAAATTAAGAGCTTTCTCTTTGGCGCTCCTAATCCGCTTATCAGATCAACTAAGCTATCCGTGTTGAGCATGTCAAATAGACCCATCACACGGGAAGGATGGAAAGTATAATAGATTTCGTCTTCGTCCACTAAATAATGAGATGCGATCGTAAATAGATCCACGTATCTATTTAAAGAGAAAAAGATAAATTATATTGCACTGATATTTTACATATGTCCATTCACATGCATTCTTGCATAAGATTTGATAAAGAGACTGAGGAAGACAGGAAATAGATTTCCAAATATCTTTTTCACACAACTAATTCAATTGTCATAATAAATGTTTTCTAGTGACATTATAATTATGCTCGTATTCCGGACTGTAGTATTCTTTAGGATGTTTGTTAGATGCTACAATAATGAAATGACTTTGGAATTAAATTAGAAAAGACAATGAGTCAATAATAAAAAAAGATCGATGTACATATGTAGATATTCATGATATCGAAACTACGTGACCTTGTTCTAAAGAATGAGATAGCGCTACGACTTCGTTTACATTTTGAATATTACTTCGAATAAGCTCTAAGCTCATTCATATTCAGCGAATACCCCGAATAGTCAGATTGTCTTTGTGCGATATGGATCATCCGAGTATGATTCAATTAAATGAACAACCAACATAAGTACAATGATCCTCATACGTGAGTAATCTTACAAGTGGTACAAGGATAAAGGTATCTACCAAAACGCCCGATAATCTTTTCTTTTTACTGCTGTTTCCTTTACATTTTTCTAACATAATTTCTTCAATCGTACAAAAGCTAGTTAGGACATTAAATAAATTGCATTTTTATGCCAAATGCAAAATAATTGCATTTTTATTCGTATAGTTCTACTTTTATTATATTCGTAAAAGTTATTAATTATATGATTTTATAAGGAATATGTTTCTTACTTCGAAAGCTTCTTTAAATCGAATTGTTTCGCCAAATTTTCTGGTTTCGTTGGTAAGGACATCAGTATCCTTTTGTCAATCGATTTTCGTACTATCTCGTCTTTGAGACCCTTGACGAAATGATAAAGACGTTCCTTTGAACCTGCTGTGACATTTAATTCTACACCATCAACCTTAAAAAATAGGGAAAATATATTCAGATTAAAATTTATACTTCATCGTCATAAATATTAAATAAAAATAAAGTAATAATGATAGTCATCGTTATTTGTTCTTTTTATCAATAATTATATTGTCAGGAATTTTGAAATATTAATTTTGTGCCTGAATATAGATAACACTACAAACACCATCGATAATGTTGTTTGCGATAGTCATTTATCAATAAAAAAATTTATTAAGCTTCTGTATAGACTACACATTGAATTTTTATGCCGTGTTTCTACGAAGCGTGAATCACGAATGTGAATTGAATGCTTTCGTGAACTACGATTCATGTGACTATTGTGAAGATTACTTGTGATGTCAACACAGCTTCATAATTCGATCATATCAGGATCGAACTGGTTTGATTTTCAGTCGTAGTAATAGCAAGCGTAAAACAGGACGTTTATACAGATAATAATATTTTTCAGTTGTTTTCACTGTAGTGAATGAAAAATTCATGTTTTATAGGAATACGGCATTATATATGCATATGTAACGAACCGGTTGCTAGCTACAGGGGCTTATAAAATTTCTTATTGACAAAAGCAATATTATCGACGATGTATAATATATTGCCTATCTTTAGGCGCTATAATTAACTCTGTAAACATAAGTGATTAATAATTATATTAAGCCAAGTCAATAAACGATTAGATTATATTACATAAATTAGATTGCAATTAGGAAATAATATAAACAAATAAAAATAAAATTAGTTTATGACTATATCATTTTATCAGCCTTTTCTTATTAAGGAAAGATATTTAACCTTTTCCAATATTTATTGAATTCTCGATAAAAACCTCAGAAAATATTTACCTCGTTTAGAATGTTAACCAAACGCGTGACAGCTGTCTGACGACTCATACCGGAAGTTTTGAGAGTGCCTGCAGGATCGTTGATAGAAATGACAAATTGGAGAGGCGGATTCATTTCTTTTAGCTCTTCGCTAAATTCTTGAATATCTAGAAGATATTGAAAATTAATTTCTGTTAATTAAATGGTATGAATTAAAAAATTTTATTTAATAATTCTATTAAATACGCGATGACAATTAAAAAGAAAAAACTTAACAAACAGGTACGATCTAACGTCGATTAATGACGTCAGTCTAAATACGCGTACGTTACTTGTCGAGATAAGCAAGGACATGTAGAAGTCATGACATCTATTAGAAAATGTCATCGAAGTACATTAGTATAGTTAGTATTAGTTAGTATTAGTTCGAGTGCGTCTTCGTGAATAATCTTCTCAATCGTTCAAGAAATACACGAAATAAAATTAACATTTTCTACTAGGGATTTATATTTTGAATTTTATCTCTCTTATGTTAATCATTAAAAATAAAATTTATCTTGTAAAAAGTATCGTTCGTTGAACGGATATATAAATATTTACGTCGTGCAATTTGAAAAAAGAAAATCTTTGCATAGTTCACATTATAATAATAAAGATCGTATGATTGATTAATTGCATATATTGGTAATCTCAAGGTAGACGATTAGATTGTGAAAGATAGTGTTTATTCTCTTGTCGCAAAGTTGAAAGGAATGTAGAAAGAAGAAAGTGATTTTTACACGGTCCACATTCACCTTTCAACAGAAGTCGAAAGTACCAGAATCAATTGATGATTATAAGCCTTCTGTGGACTTTCGTTAATCGACTTTATATAATCATATATTATTACAAAATCTTAAAATAATTGTCAATACTTCCAAATGAAATTTGTTTAACGTCAAAAAATAAATTTGATCTGTAAGATGATTACTTCATTTTCATTTTCAATGGTCAAAACATCTAAATATCCATTAGGAGCAATTTATTTAAATTGTTTAATTAAAAAATACCTAGGGCTATAACAAAACTCGTAAAGAAAATTAAGCGGATGACAAATAAAGATTTATATTTCTTCAATGTTGTAATAATGTGACGCGTCGAAGTTCACAATGCAGTTACATCATCATAATGATCATTCGTGAAGTTACTTAAGTTACAAAAAAACTCATTGTAATTTTTATAATCCTATTTCTCTGAAATGTAACCGGCTTACTTGTAAGCCACCTCAATTACTCATCATGCATATATAGACATTAAATTTATATCCCGCTATATTTCATTATTTCAAGAGTTCTCGGAATTTCAAGTTCGATCGGAATTTGTGTGTGTCTGTGTATGGATTATTGATTTATTATAAAGTATGACGACAAGTAATACCTGGTTTTCAAAAAATTACTATGGCTTCAATAGGATCGGACAGAGAAAGTAATACTTTTTTATCCGAACTATCCGACAAAGAAAAAAAGAGCACTTTCGAGGTTTCAAATATTTAATTAGCAACGTCCTTGTAGTAATATTTTGCACAGGTCCCAACACTTTCGTGATCGAATGTCTTCTTGCCCCAGAAAAATTTTTTTTTTATATCTTTTACCTTTCAAAAAAAAAAAATCTTGAAAAAAAGAGAAGCTTGTTTTTACATTTTTAAGGTTTCTCCTGGTATATTCTCATGTTCTCATATAATCTCGTGTCCTTTACTGTCTCTTATTTACTCCTCTATCTACCTCTCTCTTTGTGTTTTTTTTATTCATAAGGTATGCTACCATAGATAGCTACTTTACCTTCGTTAATTTCCGTTCCATCATAAAGCTTAAGAATATCGCCTTTTCTCATAAGACGCTTATATCAGATAAACGAGTATTCTATTAATATTGTCAAAAATTTTGGCGATTTTGCATAATACGAGAGGTATTGTCCTTCACCGATAATATTAACGCAACTTCTTTTGATTTTATAAAAATACGAGAATTGATTTATTACGACGAGTATCGTCATAAAGATAATGTAACGATGAATTTTTGATTATTTGCAATTGCGTACATTTACGAAATGTTATGTAGACTGTATCAAAAGAAAAAAAGATAGAGAGAGAGAGAGAGGAAGAAGAAGAAAGGGTCATCAGATGAGAAGATAGAATTATGTCAGAGATTCTTTGTTTTTGTTATTGCTAGACCACGCGTGTCGTGAAACACAAGACGACCTCTTGCGATTGCAGCGGTCTGACGTCACGTCATCATGTCATATTCGTTGAACATATAATATCTATAGAATCTACGATATTTATATAGAAGAAGGATGTTTTGTTGTGTGTCCTCGCGATAAATTATATCACGACGGAAATGAAATACCGATCCATTTCATTTCAAAGATAACAAACGACGTAAATGTGTTTGAGAGTAAATATACATCTTATGAAAGAGCGAGAGAAATACATATAGAAATATAAAGGTTAGCGATGTGTATCCTAAGCTATATCTTGTTGCAAGTGCAAGGACGTGACCGCCCGGTGGTTTCAATTGCGGCTGTATCGTTTATGCAATTCCTCAAAGTCGCATAGCGCAACGACATTAACATCAACTTTCAGTACACTTACGCTACCTTTCCTAGAGCGAGAATTTCCAGTAACACTTTTTCTTTTTCTCATTTGTTTCGTCATCTTATTTTTTTTCTTCGATCTATCTAAGACAATTTAGTCTAGTTAGACGACGATACCAAAGGACATCGATTACAATTACCATTAGCAATTCGAATTTGGAATCGAAAAGAGTTCGGTTCTTATTGTCCTTTATCGATTTAATAGAAACGCGTTCGTTTCACTAAAACGGGCAATAGACTTACTCAAAACTATATCGAGCTAATGACTCATGTTCGCTGCGAACGTGGGCGTCCGGTCATTGAATTTCGCAAGCTTCTCGATGAGTAATCGATTTATCGTTTGGTTCAATGTACGTAAGTAGTTTTATATCAATTCGATAATATTAATCTGTATTTCGTTATAATAGAATTTTGAGATATTTTGTTTTTCAAAGACTCACCCGAAATAGAAAGATTTTGTATATCATGTCCTTGATGTACCAAAGTGGTGCACTTACAAATTGAATCTCTGAGTAGATTCACATCTGATTTGAAAGTATAACAAATCACTTCTTTGCCTGGTGAAGTTTTTTGTCTTGGACATTCTGAAAAAAAAGAAATACAAACTTATCATTTTTCTTTTTTCCTCGTAAAAATTACATTTACACTTTACTATTACTTTTATCCTAATAATAAAAATGAACGAACGACTAAAGACGTTCATTCTCATCTTTTCTATTGTCATATATTAATTTTACGCGAGCGACAAAAGAGACGATTTCAAAGGTATCCGTCAGGTACGTTTCACTGTCGTTGACATCATCGACGATTGCATTATACGTGAAGAAGCGTCTATAATGGTCATTTACATAGACTCGCAAACCTGTTGTAGAACATGGACTATGTAAAGATGGGAAAAATAGTGAATAAAAGATAAAAAAAGAATGAAAAAAGACAGAGAGAGAGAGAGAGAGCGAGCGAGAGACGCTCGTATGAAGTACGTATTGATTGGTACGTAGACACATATAACGTAGACATCTTTACCATTATTATTAACTCTTGTTGCCGGATATGTTGACTTTGTGAAGACATAACGATTTACATGAAGCCTATTTACATGATCCAACTGTTAATTATAATCTTAGAATTTTCCTTAGATAGACATTTTCTTTTAGCTAGAACCGAAGAAGACAAAGATAAAAATGTTAAAATCAAAAGGAAGGACGAAAAAACACGAAGTTCTTGTAATCTGGAGTTTTCTTTTGAAAAACATTGGAAACAATGGATCCACGCTTGATAGTTACGTCTTCAACGTAACGATCCCCGATTTATCATAAACGGACGGTTAATGGCGCGAAAAGAGATTCTTTATTAAATAAGCAATACAATACGTCGTTAAGTTGTTAACGGTGAAGCGATCTCGCGTTGCTCGATCAATAAGATAGACTGATAAATCATTCTCCTGAGAGAAAGTTCTTTTTACCGGTGATTCTTTCTCTTCGAATCACTATAATGACGCGTACAATGGTGGCACCTGATCTTCGTAGCTAAAAAGAAAGTAACTAATCTACCCCCGCTCACTCTGATTTCTTTTCAACTATTTTGAGTACTTTCTTTAATGTCTTATGTGCAAATTGAATTTTTCGGATAGCCGAAAGTTTGTCTTCAAAATCGAATTTTAGAATGAAAAGAGAATGAATAATAAATGAGATTGGAGAAATTAAAATGAATAAAAAGGATTTCTTTTTCTTTGCGTTCTTTTTTTTCTTTTTTTTTCTTTTTTTTCTTTTTCTTTTCTTTTTAATTAGAAAGAAAGGAAGAATTTGTTCAAAATGGATTAAAAAATTTATGTAAGTTCATGTTATGTGTAAAAGTGTTGAATGATTCTAATTATTTTTTAATCACTTTATATTTATTAATTTTGAAAAATTATTTTAATGTTTGTTCTTTTTTTCTTTTTTAATAGTGCGAAATTTTTTTGTTTTCGTTGACGTTATCGATTTCTTTAATGGTCACCGACCATCGCAAACGCGTCGATTACACGTAAATGGTATCGTCCTTGTGTCAGACAGCGCGCTCCAGTTGTCGATGGCGTAATTTAACCTCAAGGATTAATACGATTGATCGTCGTGGATTAACGATTATCGTAAAGAATCTAGTTTTGGATCTTCATGTCGGCATTCTCTTTAGAATTCTATTTAGAGAGTCGTTCCACTCATCGATTTCGCAGAAGAAAACAATGACAGGAAAGTCATTGAAAGTCTATTTTAAAAAGATTCGTTTCTTTTACAGTTACTCGAAGACCAATTAAAAATTTGTAATCAGCTCAATGTGAAATTTTTTCTTTCGATATAATAAATATCCTTTAATTATTTTTGCATCAATTTATTACATTTCTTTATAGATCATAACAATGATTTTTTTACGATAACTGCATTAATTGGTAACATCGAATAATTGAAAAAAAAGGCAATAGTTAAAATGAAAAAAGACTTACTCGTATTAGATCCAAGACATACAGGTATAAAAGAAAGAATGATTAGTAGAATCAATCGTGTCACCATCCTGTCGATCGCAGGACCCATTTTTTACTCTTGTTATCTTCACCAATCCTTGAGATCTTCAAGTCAATGCTGGAAATTGAAGAAACAACACTCGTAATCTTATTATCGACGTAATCATCGAGATTAAAAAATGATCAATGTTTGAATTTAATACGAAAGATCAATCGGAAAAATTTTCTTTTCTGTATTTTTTTTTTTTTGCTTTTTATATATTTATCTATCTTTTATTCTCGGTTCGTTTAAATCTCCTCGAAGACAAGGAATCTCAAAGACAAGGATTCCTTCGAGTTCGAGCGCGCGTTTCGTACTGAACCCTCGGAGGACTCGTGCTCTCTTAGTAAACCCTACCGATCCGTCCGGATGGAAGCAATCGAGGACCAACAGAATCGGTTCAGGGAGAATCGAGAGGAGAGAGAGAGACAGAGAGAGAGAGAAGGAGAGAGAGAGAGAGAAGGAGAGAGAGAGAGAGGCAGAACAGAGGCCAACGGGACCAGCAGATCACACACGAGATCACGAGGTGGGGTACCGGACTGGCCCAGATCGAGACACTTTCCGTGTTACATACATGTACGTACGCTTCTCTCAGTTAAAAATAGGATCACTCATACGATCGTTACGTTATAAGACTTCTGATTCACGAAGTCCAAGTATATTAAGATTTTTTTTTTATTTAAAAGTGTCGCTGCTATTTAGCAAAAAGGATTTTTGCGAATTCACGAATCTTGATTATCCAAGTGACATCTATGTAAAAATATGCTATTACCTTTTTTTCTTCTTCTTCTTTTTGAGAAAGAAATAAAAATAAAGAACGAAGAAGATCATTAACGAGTATATGATTTTCTTGAACAATATGATTTCATAAAGGAAATTTAGGTGAGTGCAATAAAAATTGCTTTTATTTCCTAATATCAGATGTACTTTACTTATTCCAAGAAATTGAAATCATGATGGAAACACATTGCTGACTTACTGACCACAATCGGATATTGTCAAGATCACGATCGTTGGAAAAAAATCTGATATATTACACTTAAGTGTTTACTCACATTAAGTAATAACCAAAGAAGGTAATAAGATGTTAGAACTCTCGATACGTTTAAGAGAATACCATATCTTCGGATTTATAAAATACCAATGAAGATTGAGCATGACAAATGAGATTATTGCTTTCACTTTTAGTGGTAAAAAAAAATTGACCCCAATCCTCGATAAGGATCATCAAACTATGGATTCGATCGATTCTTATTCTTTTCTTTTCTTCTTTTTTTTCGATTATTAATTGTAAGTATCATAACTTTACGACAAGATATATCGTGAACTTCTAACGATAAAACTAATTAAAGATGATCGAAGATAATTAAGAAACAACACTTTCACTATAAGAGAAGGGATATTTAATTGGTCGCTGGTCTATGCACAAAACGTCATCGATTTAACCAAGCACAAACGAATGACCGCCTCGTTAAACATTCCACCAATGATATTTAGAACAACAGGCGAGATCCTTGTTTTAAAGTACAAATGTGGAGTTTCAGCGTAAAAATGTGAAGTCTAAACGTCGGTGAGAAAGGAAAATAAAATAATACAAAATGAGGATGTCGTTAGTTAGAGGAAGTATAACATTCCATTATTACTATCTAGATCTAGATAGTGATAGTGAAAACTAGTTTTTTTTATGCACTTTTTCAACGTTTAATAAACTTCATTATAGAAAGAAAAAATATTACAATCGAGAAAAATATTGAAATAGAAAATAAACAAAGGAAATAACAAAAATAGTATTAATAAAATTATAAAGATTTCTATGATAGATCAAGAATAGATCGTGGATCGTACCTGTTCGATCAGATCTACGCGGCACGACGGATCTTATCGAACTGCAGTTAACTAAGAATCTTCTTTCCCATAATACGACACGTATTTACTTGTATTTCCAGTATCTCTTCACGATATGCGTTAACTATCCTCGGATCATCATTGATAATCATTGACGTATGTAAATGAAGTAGGATCGCAGGCTCTGACCACGGATCGTCTCTCGTACGAGCATTATTACGTCATCAGAAGATTTCGTTCGGTATCATACGTGGAAAAAAGATTTTATGTTTCGATCATGACACAATTATAATAAACGGAAATCATAAGGTATCTAACGTAAGACGTTCTCTTTTACATCCGCATTAATAATAATTGCGACGAGATTATTAACGTCCTTTCCAAACGGATCTAACAACGACGACATTTTCAAAAGTTTCCGATGATAAAATTCATAAATTCTATACGTATAATTTATTAATATTAATAGTTAATTCATAAATTATATACGTATAATTTATTAATATTAATAGTTAATTTAAGTAAAACATAAAACCTATTTATTTATAATACATCAACGATGCTCGAATATTCATACGTGGACATATATTTTTATTCATATTTTTACTTATATGATATATGTACATATTTTCATAATGCAGTCAAAACTAACTATAAAAATAGCCAGAAGATTTTTTTTCTTGGAAGTTACAGGTTTCAAAGTATCGATAAAACAGAAAGAGGCGATTAATTCTATGACCGATTTATACCGAGTATTACTACTTGTAAGTGGTAACGGACATTCGTGTCACGCCCCTGACTAATGTAAGTTCGACCACGTTAGAGAATTATGGATCGAGTACGAGGCGAATATAAAAAAAAATAGAGAGTTTGTTTTATCATTTGACATCTGTCCTCGTAGAAAGTGATCGGCATTATATAGCTATCGAGTGTCGGTCATCGTCGAACGTGAGAACGATTTCAGTTCGTTCGAAACGTTTTAAAATTTAGATGAAGATTATTGAGACGATAGAACAATCGGGATACTAGATTTCTCAATGAAAATCTCGTGAACTCGCTCGTTGAAAGCAAACAGCAAAGATGGATACAGAGGCGTGAATCATCTGATCGATAAGGTCGTTACTTGGCAATCCAGAGATTGCTTTCATACGTTTTGTGACTAGCACAGATCTTTATGCGGATTACGTCACTTTCGAGAATAAGCAACAAAGTGAGCGCCGGTTGATCGTTAATCAAAGAAAAGGGGAAAAAATTTATGATTGCATTGGTCGACCAATTCGAAATTGAAGTAACGTCGGTCCACCATCTTTCCGGTACAACGAAATCTTTTTATGGACAATGATGTAACAATAGTGAATGACCTCTGATATATTATCGAATTATTCGAATCGTGAAGTAACTGATTCGAATTGTGTTATTAACCTGAGATAAATTTGATGACTTTTCCTTTCTGCTGACTGGTGAACAACAGATTGCATTGAATATTGAATTTATAAATATAGCACATAGTACGATTTTAATTAGTAATATGAAACAATTATTAATAATATTTAGAGCAAAGTTTAATATAAAATAATATATGGAAAATAATGAATATAATTCCAATCAATATTATAAAATAAAAAAAAATTATACATGTAAATTTCAGAATGCTAAATTAATTTAATTTACCTTGGAATTGGTTAACGAAGGATGATGCTTGTCGTATTATAATTCGAAAATAGGAAAAGAAAGTTATATGCGAAAAAAGCTCCGAGCACAAATATTAAAAGAAAAAGATAATGAGTTGATCATTCTCATATCTCCAGGCGATCTGGTGCAGTTACGTCGGCACGACGCGCCCGTGTATACGATCGGACTGTGCGAAGGGAAAGGAACTTTTTAGAAAATTGCATCGCTCATAAAAAGGCTGCGGCTAACTTAAAAAGGAGACACTCACTCGTTTGTAGGCGTTTCTGATGACTAGAGTCACCGCTCACAATATAATAACTCTGCGTAAGACGGATTTCATTAATTTGACGTACATTATATCGGACCATATCGGATAGAACAACTTTACATTATACAGGAAATAAAATTTTTTATTCTTTATTCTTTATTCTTTATTCAAGGATATTTTCAAAAGTTAACATATATATCGATCAAATCAATATCTTTCGCTAAACGTATCGTATGAAATGATAGTAATGTTGATGTAAGTAATAGTATTATATTCAGAATTAACAATTACTGTATTAATATTACAATCTTACGGTCTCTATATGTTTACAAATTTTTTTATATTTTATATGTGTTAATATATAATAAAGCACGATTGAATATATTAAATAGATGAATCTTTGATATAACATTGGTATATGACGGAATACGATTATGTCATTATTATGTTAATACGTCACTTTTAATAAAATTATTTTCAAGATGTTAAAAATAAAAGTGACGAGTAAAAAAAGGTCGGTCGATCGATCGTAAACATTAGCGTTTTTTCGACTTCCGAAAGAAAAAGATAATAATCGTGATCGTAATCGTCAAAAAATATCGTGTCGGTAAAAACATAACAATTAATTCCTATGAGATTTCGCACGAAAATTATCCTTTTAATTCTTTAAATCTATATATATATACATATAATTGACCTTCATCTTACAATGTCAAAATATACCGAAAAATGTACCGTGAGAAACAATAAATAATAGGAAGGTCACAGGAAAATGTCTGACGCGCTTATGGACCATTATTTACGGTTATTGTGCTCACGTTCACGTTCACTCTTGCACATACTCACGCACTTGAATCATTGGATCAGTCATTAAGGGAACATTCTTAAGAAAGAAGAAGACGGAAATCCAAGTTCTTTATATTTTTCTCCTTCTCTCTTTTTCTCTTTTTCTTTTCCCCCCCCCCACGAAATCCGCACAACGTGTCACTCGCGTTTCTTTTTCGATATCTTCCGGATTCTCGTTTGAATGATTCAGGAATTAATTTCTTTTTACCTTTAAAATCAATCTCACAAATGAACGCTATCAATGAATTACCTCGAAGGGAGCACGTGTAGCGTTCTTTTTTTTTCTCTCGACAACGTTTCTACGAATTAATATTAGTAGTAGACTTTTCATGTTGAGTGGAAAATTTCTCTCGACGATTCTGTACGACAATAGAAAAATTTTATCGCATACGATAACATCGTATAAATATTTTGTAAGTATGAAAAAGAATTAATGAATTTAATCATTTATTTTAACAAGATACATGATTGATTCGTCAAGGAGATTCTATCGTAAGATCCTTCTTTTTTGTTTCTTCGTAAAAACTTCATTATGTCGTTTAATTATATAAATATATAATTAATAGTATTTAATTATATCGTCAAGTACTTGTTACAGTCATTAATTCGTATCGGATTATAAGAGATACAGTAAAAAGTATAAACGTTTTATTTACTTTCTTGTATTTAATTACTTGTAAATACTTATACATTTATGTTTCTTATATATTCCTTTTCATTTGTATAGCACTTGTTTACATAAGCATTCTCGACTCGAGAGTTTTTCGTAGACCTCCGAGGTAAACTTCAAGTATCGTATGGAATAGCTCTCAATCATTCATTCGTCATCCCATTGATCGATTTGTAAAGTACGAATAATAAGGGGCTCGCCATGATATGAGATAAAAAGAAAACAGATCTCCATCGAACGAATAATTATCTTTCCTTGCTTGAATAAGCCTTATAAATTCTAAAAGAATCATTTTTTTCTTTCTTTTTCTTTTTTCTTTTTTTCTTTTTTTTTTTCAAGTCGGAGAAATTTCTTCCTTTCTGTAATAGCACAGCTATTCTTTCGTTCAGAGTTCAGAATCTCGGATGCCAAGATCAGGAAGTATAAAAGAATTAGATTTTGACAAAGGTACGTTCCAGATAAGAACTCTCGATTATCCGAACCACTTGTTTCCAACGTGGTACCTTCTCTCGATGGAACGAGTTGTTTAGTGATACGAAAGTACTTGACAGAAAAGAGAGAGCTTATTTGCATTCGATAATAAGTGAAACAGTTTCTTCGCTGGAACAGGATCTTGATTGGTGAAATATTTAATAATCCTGACGTTTCTCTTTCTTTTTTTAACTTCTTCTACTAAATATTATAACAAAAGTCAAAATTTCTAGAAAGCGAATTGAAATCGAAAAATTATCAGATAGATTACCAATGATGACTTTCCACTGAGTGAGCATTTAGTATCGAATACATTTACATGCAAATAGGTAGATATTATGTAATAACTATTTTGACTATTTTCGAACGTGGACCGGTACAAATAAATGGAGCATGAATTGGAAAAGGAAAGTTTGAATTAATAATCCATAAGGATATAGGCGAATTATATTTCTGATTAGATAACGAGGGCATCTCTTTGAAGTAAGTATAATAGTAAATGTAAAGCGATATTTTATCGTAATTCAAAAGAGGGAAAGAGAGAAAGAGAAAGAGAGAGAGAGAGAGAGAGAGAGAGAGAGAGAGAGAGAGAAAGCATCGACAATGAAAAATATATGAATGCCATGATCTAATGCAAAGTCATGCTTGTTTGTGTTCGCTATAAAAGCGTTTCACTTTGAAAAGTTTACAAAATCGCCGAGGGCGACAACACAAGATCCCTGAAGCAATGCTTTCCCTTATTGACGCTCGTTATTGGGTTGAACGGATATTGGGATGAAATTTTTCGTTCTACGAACGTTAATTCGAGCGTATCAATCACAATATAATTACACTTACAAATTCAAATGTATTAGAAGTTCCGCATTTTTACTATCGATTATTCCAACGTAACGTCATTCGACTACTTATTTCTCATAGCGATCATTATAGTGTATATTTATGTAGATATATCTTATATTAATTCATATCTATTAACTATGAATTAATGATTTTACTGAAACACTTCTTTTTTGTTTTTTTTTTTTGTTTTTTTTTTCAAAATTTGTACCTACCTATATATAGGTGTATATATATATATATATATATATATATATATATATATATATAAATATATATATATAGGTATTTAATCGAAATCGAAAAATTATGATCTCTTAGTGATCGTAATAAAAATTTAATCATATCAAAAAGGTTCGGAAAAGAGAAAGCTATAGATAGAAAAAAAAATGAATATCTTCCTCACGTAATAGGATTGTATTTCCTATTGATTAACGGATAAATAATTACGCATTATAATGACGATAAATCGGCCTTGTCTGGGCCTATATCTTGCCATTCGACAACAATCTTATACTTCATACGTGGTTACGGATCTTTCCCATTTCATGTACATAAACACAGCCAATATACATATATGTAGACACACACACACACACACATACAGTTATGTATTATATATTTATTATCCATCCGAGTGAAGCTGAACAATAATGCCAGTTCCTTTCATAGAATAAGGACTATTATTAGGATAAAACGGATATCGTATAATTAATGTCAAAGGAGAATACCCTTGCCTGACCCCGCATTGTCAAGGTCCCTTCGGCAAGCGATGGTTCCCTGTTAATGATGTAACGTAGCAAGAATCTCGCTGAAGATAATTTAACACGTGCCTACTTGCCTAGCAATGCCTTTTGGATCATACGAATTAAAGAGACATGATTTTTTTACATAGATTACGGAATGTCGTTTTTATATATTTAAATCACGCATTTCGCTCGTAATCAGCAATGATTATGAGATACGGCAAATAACCTCTGCCCCATCCATCTCTCTCTCTTTCTCTCTCTTTGTTAATTGGATTGTTCCCATTACAAAATATAAGTAAACGTTTTAATAATGAAATAGATAAGTTAAATTGTTAAATTGTATCTTGATTGTTGTTCGTGCAATGGAAAGATATTTATCGTTATTATCATTAGTAAGTATTAATTTTATAAACTAAAGTATCTACATCAAAAGTAATTTTCTAATGCTAATAGACATTATCTAGATCTGGTTATACAGTAAATAATCGAATTAAATTCGTTCATCATATTCCATGAGTTCTTTCGTAATTTCATTTTAAATATATCATATAGTACTTTGAACGTTGAGATTGTACTCTTATTTAGAAAGAAAAAAAAAAAAAAAAAAAAGAAAGAAAAAGCAGTAAAAGTTCAAGAAAAAAAAAAAAAAAATAGAAAAAAAACAAATGAGAGATAAACATCTATTTATTTTTATTTTTGTCTCAAAGTAAAAGTACATAGAAAATACGTATATACATATATTCGAATAAAAGAGCGACGTTGTACATATTTGGCTGAATGGAAATCGCACGTCGACGAAGGAACTCTCGTTTGAAACGATTTTACGTAATAACTCCTCGAGCGTGCTGTGGTGATCCACTACGAAAGCATTTCACGCGTGCACACGTTCTTGGGTGCGACCTACACGCGTGTAATACCCTGTCGACGGGTAGCTTCTCGTTTATGTCCAGACTTTTGCTTTGCTGCTTTCTCCACAAGAATTACGTCATGTCTTCCGATCTCGAAGTATCTTTCTTTTTCTACCTCTCTTTCTCTCTCTCTCTCTCTCTCTCTCTCCCTTTCTCTGTCTCTTTCTCTCTCTCTCTCTTTCTTTCTTTCTCTCTTTTCTTTCTCCTCACTGATTATCGCAACCACGACGACGACGACGACGACGACGAGGACGACGACGACAACGACGATGAACCCTTCGAAAAACGGCGCCGAACGAAATCCACTCAGATGTTTCATACTCGCCCAAAAAAATGTCATTCGCGTTGACGAGCGTGAAATTGACGCCACCAATTTAATAAACTCCGTAAGAGAAGGAACCTACAGAACATGAATAATATCGGATTATATTTTTAAGTATGCGAATGCTTATGGAAACAGAAAATGAAAGTTTCAATGATACATGTCGAAGGAATCATGAAAAAGAGAGAAAGAGAGAGAGAGAGAGAGAGAGAGAGAGAGCGAGAGAGAGAGAGAGAGAGAAATAAAAAAAGAGAAAAGAATAGATAAGGATAAAATAGAAGACAAAAAAAGAAAAAAATTAAAAAGTTATTAAATCAAAAT